GACTTGCACAGTTTAAGAAATGTGAAGATACACTTACTGCTGTTTTGTTAGCAAACTACATGACTGTAGGCCAAAATTATGCCCCCCAGCTTACACATTAAAATAAAAAGTAAGTGATCATTACTTATTCACTTATTCTCTTCCTACTACTCATGTAGGACTAATAACGTGGCATCATAATGACTCTGTTCTTTTTCTCTGTCCAAATAATTATTGTCCTGCATTTTGTATATTCAGCAATCAAGATATGCCTAAACTCCCTTCTTACACTACTTGCCCCATCAATCTTACTTTTTATCACTCACTCCTATATGCCAAACTCCTCATGTTTTGGGATACCTCATAGAAGCATTTAACCTCATGGCTTAATGTTTTCTTCTAATGAGTCCTCTTCTTCTTCTGTCATTTTTATTCACAGGAACTACAACTATCGTTGTTCTTCACAGGAAAAACTCAACAATAACTTCCAGTGGCCTGTCTACATGTGAAGTTCATGGCTATGCCTTCTGGCAGGTAAGTCACTACAGTTTTTCTCTGCTATCACAAAAGATAACCAATAAACATTCATATTTCATCCAATAACCTAAGTAATATTAGACTACCTACCTCAGATTTCTGATTCAGAAGAGGATACTTCTGTGCAAAAGGATGCACACCCATCAACTCATGACAGGGATCATCCTCCCCTTCACCAGATGTATAAGGTGGGACTCTCCCCATTCTCAGCAGCTACCTTAACAACCTGCACATGTCTGGCACTCACCAGCAGCTTGCTGAACTCCCAGGTGGATCTTGTTTTGCCGATTACTTATACTTGGAGCTCATAATTTTTTTTGACCTGCAAGTGTTCTCTTCCCATGAATGCCTGTGAACCCATGGCCTTAAGAATATCTTTCCTGGCTGCCTGGCTCTGATCAAGCTGCCTCTCATGCTTCTTGTGAATTCATAAAGTAGACCAAACCAGAGAGCATTCACATCACAGATTTTAAAGCCTTTGTATAGTTTTTGCAGCTCTCTTCTAGAACTCTTCTCCCATTATATTCCTACTGCATAGAGAAGTGAGCACTGCAATGCTGGAATCCTCTGACAGTGTAATCTCTTTGTCTGAATATAAGACAACAGGGAAAATTACCATTCTAATTAACAGAAGCTATTTCCTATAAAATACCCTATGAATCCCTAGGGGGAAAAAAAGTGAGCACTCCACTGTCAGAAGAGCATGAACTAGGCAGATATCAAAGCACGTTGAATCAGAATCAGTCCTTTTTGCAGTTATTAACTGACATAAGCATTAAAGCTATTTTGAATCTATAGTTGTATCTGTCCCATGGCCTCAAAACAAGCAGTTTTCAAAAGACGTTTCAAGATAACCATATTAAAAGACATATTTTAGCTGGTCCAGAGATACTATGTATTCTCCCTGGGAAACATTTCCATTTGTTAAGCCATCCTGTAACTTCTCCCGACATCCAAACACCCTTTCTGGCACTTCTTAAGAAGTTTGACTTGTAACTTTTGTTTCAAATTCCAGACAAGTTTTGTACCAATGAAGCTACTAACTTTTAACGTATGAATCCGTTCAAATTTCATAAATAATTAGCCGTACGGAGAAAGTGATAGGGAGAAGTACCATACTAGAAGCAACATTTGAGTGCACTTCATACTGTGCAGTTATTCCCTAGGAAAAGTGTTATCACCTCATTATTTAATTTTAATACAGAATTACTGGTAACCTTAAAAAAAAAAACCCTAAGTCTGATAGATTATAACAAACAGCTGGCAAACCAGATTACAAGAATTCAAGTAATACAAGTACCCATACACTTTCTTTTCTTTCTTCACAGAGAAAAGCATGCAATTTTTTCTGAATCAAATCTGACTACAAGCTAATTGCAAATGCCAATGTAATCATAATGGCAGCTCACACTGCCAGTCAACATCACATCTACTTTCTAAAGGCTGTGCTACACACTAAGTGCTATGCAGTTTGCCTGTATGAGGCAAAATACTACATGTTACAGGAAAAAAAAAATTAGCTCAGTAACCCTGTCTGTAACATAAGTTGTGTTAAGTACTGGTAATTAAGTACTGGTAAACTACTCTCATCAGAAAGCAAAGAAAACATCCATTCTTTTGCTTTATAGGTCTTGCACTAAACTTAAGTTCCACTGGCATAATTGATGGTTGGCCCTGTGAAGCATCATCTGACAACTCGCCCAGCAGGCCTGGCTAATACTAGAGTCCAACAGGAAGTATCAATTTTAATTCACATAAATATGAATCAGACCACAAGCACTTCCTCTGCAGTAATGGTCTACAATAGTGGAAAATAACCACAGAGGCATGGTATTCACCTCAGAGATCAGCAGGCACCCCTCCTTCGAGACAAAGTTATGGTTTAACTCTGTTACCTGCAGCTCAGTTTTACACTTGCCCTTACCGTATCATAGTCACTATGGGAATATCCAAACATAGGGAATTCTTCAATATCTTCCTGTGTCATATATTCCAACTCTTCCTTTGCAATCTTCTCAAAAACTTGTCGATAGACTGTAAAGAATCCCTGAAACAAACAAACAAACAAGCAAACAAATAAATAAATAAACCTTTTGCATGGCTCAATAATAGATGTACAAATGCTCAGGTGCAGTGTATTTTCGAGAAACAATGCCACACTGCAAGAGCAACTCAAAACCAGGATAAAGGCCTTGTAAGCACTTGCTTGAGGTACAAGACCCTTCTAAACAAAGTTCCACTATCCCTCATGCCTTTTATTTCCACCTTCCTCACACTGTCACTGTCTCTCTCACGCGTGTAAGTAAACACCAATTTTAAAAGAAAGAAAGTTTCCATATGCTGGAGATGGTGATAAGTTTCTAGTTACGCAGGATCAAGTTTTGTGGATGTTCCAGACATAAAATTCACTATTAAATATCCTATATTTTTCTAAATTAGTATGTTACTAACTGACTACTAGTACAGTAACAGAAGGACAGGTAAGTATTTCCTCTGGTGGATGTTTTTCTAATCACCTGGAGCTTTTCAATTTATTAAATATTATGAGTGAGTATTTTAAAATCCAATGGGAAATTCAAAAATCCAATAGGGAATTCAATTATAGTAAGCACAACTTCCCCCAAAGTCTATTGTTACACTGCTTTTCTGTAGTTTTCAGCATTCTAGCATGATAAAGGTATTTCTAAACAAACAGATGGTATTGCAAAGGCCTGGAATGCTTCACTATATAAGATAAATAAACAATATGCACATATCTGTAGTTGTACGGCATAGTTGGACATTTTGATTAAGTAACTGTTGAACAACATGCAAGAATTAAAGCCACCTTATACATCCAGTTTTAAGTTTTGTCTAGGATTTGCGTAAGCTGTGCTAAGAATTCTACATATAACTTTAGCACAAAACAAATGCTAACATTGAAACTTAAGCTGATTAATTAAAGATTAATTGATTCCTTACCTTTTCATCATCCCCATATCCAGAGTAACAGCTAACAGTGAAGTAGTGCAGCAGATCTAAGCTATCATCTTGATAGTCTCCATCAACTCCTCCTTTCAGCAGAGCCTCCCTGTGATTATCATACCTGGAAAAAATTCACAGCATCAAGGATGTAGAGACACAGAACACCCCTCAGTGCTGATAAACAGAGTATACCTATCACATCACTGTATATCTTAACCCACTGTCCATAATTTGTCTCTCATATCCAAAGACTTCAGAGAGAAAAAACATGACAGACCCAGTATAGATATTCCCTCTCGATCTTTATTTTACTTACTACTATTTTATCTGCAATATCTATAGCTGGCTCCTCAAGAGCCAGCAACCAGTCAATTGCATTTGAGAAAGAAGCCTCACCAAACTTCCAGAAAGGGGCAGGGCATTATTTAAATCACCCAATACTTGCATGCACTCAAAAAAAAAACCCCAAATCATAACATAAGCACAAAAAAACGTGAAAAACACTCCTGTATTTTCACGGAGGACAAACTCAGGATAGGTGGGTTTGGCTGTGTAAGCTGGTAGATGCTTCAGCCCATGTGAAAAACAAGCTACACAGAACATTTGGAATAGCGATCCCTTAGTGATGTGTATGTGCATATTTCAAATTAGGACTGAACACCTGTATGCACTGCCTAAGGCCTGACGGCTGCCCAGAGCTGCGGTGAAAAGCCGCCCGGTGCTCGGGGAGGAGGAAGCAGGCCAAGCCCGGCTGCTCGCAGGGCGCTGCTCGGGCCCAGCACGCCTCCAGCTCCCGCACGCCACGAGGAAGGTGAGGGTGCGGAGCCGTGCCCCTCCTGCACGGCTCTAACTCTGGCAAAGCCTAAAACCAGTCGGCTGCCCCTGCCCACGGCTGCCCCTGCCCACGGCTGCCCGCGCTGACTCGCGGCGAGGCCCAGGAGCAGCACGGGACAAGTCCTGGCACAGCCAGGGCTAATAAAGCCTCTGCCAGGCCAAGCGCCGCTCACCAGGCCCGTTCCTGTGGGTCGCTGAGCACGTCGTACGCCGCCTGGATCAACTTGAACTGCTCCGCTGCCTCCTCCGCGTTCTCGAGGTTTTTATCTGCAGGACAATTTAACGAAACCGTGTCAGCGGCGGTCAGGCTCGGCGGCAGCAGCCGCCCCGCCGCCCCCGGCACCGAGCCAGGCGACAGCGCGGTGCCCCCGCGCCGCGCGGGGCCGGGGCCGGGCCCGGGCCGTACCCGGGTGCCAGCGCAGCGCCAGCCGGCGGTACGCCCGCTTCAGCTCCTCCTCGGCGGCGTCGCGCCTCACGCCCAGCACCTCGTAGTGGCACTTCATGGCGATGGCGGCGGCGGCCGGTGGGGCGGGGATACCGGGACACAGGGCACCGCCGCCCCGCGCCGGGAGGGGCGAGACCGGCAGGGGAGGAGCGAGGCGGGAGGGGAGGGAGCGAGGCGCGGTGTCAGCCGGCTGCCGGCGGCACGTGGGGAGCGCTTGTCCCCGGCCCACGGCCGGGATCGGGCGCTGCAATCACGCGGTTTCGGAGTAACCGGATACCTTGTGCTGGAATTCACGGAATCAATGGGAGTGGAAAAGATCTCCGAGATCATCGAGTCCTGCCTGTGACCCGACAGCACTGTGTCAACAACTTAGTGCTACGTCCAGCCTTTTCTTAAACATCTCCAGGGACGGTGACTCCCCCCTCCCTCGGCAGCCCATTACAATGTCACCCTTTCTTTTCTTTCACCTTTCTGTCACCTATTCATTCTGTGAAGAAATTACTCGTAATGTCCGGCGCTAACGTGTCCTGGCACGGCTTAAGGCTGTGTCCTCTTGTCCTACTGCCAGTTGCCTCAGAGAAAAATCTGACCCCAGCCCGGCCACCCTTTCCTTTCAGGGAGCTGAAGAGTGCAATGAAGTCTCCGCTGAGGCTCCTCATTTCCAGGGTAAGTACACCTGCTTCTCTTCAGACCTGTGCTCCAGGTTTTATTGTGCTTCACAGCTTGGTTTCCCTTTTCTGAACTTGCTCCACCACCTCAAAGTCCTTCCCGAACTGAGGAGCTCAGACCTGAACACAGGACTCAAGGTGTGACTGCACTAGTGCTGAACACAGGAGAACAATAGCTTCCCTGCTGGCCACATTATTTCTGAAATTGATATTTCTGATTCCTGTGGGTGTTGAGGAGCCCAGAGGCACAGCCAGCACAGCGCGCATTCTCAAGGTAGATTTTTTTTTTACACCTATGCTCTTCAGAGAATTTAGGGTTGGTCCAAGTAGTTTTCCTTCTCTAGGTCATGTTTGTATCAGTGGGCACTACATGAACTGAGCTTTGGATCAGACAGCAAAATCTGAATGTCCTAATCTCAGTGTTTAATCCAAACATGGCAAGTTGAACATGAGTCAGCAGTGCCCTGGCAGCCAGGAGGGCCAACCCTGTCCTGGGGGCATCGGGCACAGCATCAACAGCCGGGCAAGGGAGGGGATTGTCCCGCTCTGCTCTGCACTGGGGTGGCCTCAAGTGTTGACGGCAGTTTTGGGTCACCTCAGCATAAAGAAGGATATAAAGCTAGTGGAGTTTATCAGGAGGAGTGCAGCTTAGATGGAGAGAGGTCACAGCAACTGAGGTCACATGGCTTGTTCAGCTTGGAGAGGAGGCTGAGGGGGGCCTCCTTCCAATACACATCTTTGTCACAGGAGGTTTGTCTGGAATAGTCAATTTTCATCACAGTAGCAGGTAGGGAGCTGTGTTATGCCTCCTTCCAGTACACATCTTTGTCACAGGAATAGTCTGGAATAGTCAATTTTCATCACAGTAGCAGGTAGGGAGCTGTGTTATGGATTTGGGCTGAAAACACAAATGTTGTGTTGATAGTAATAGAAAAGCTTGCATTATTGCTGAGCAGTGCTCAGACTCACAGCCGTTTTTGCTTCTCACCCCACCCACCAGAGAGGTGCACAAGAAACTGAAAGGGGATGCAGCCAGGGCAGCTGACCCCAGCTGACTGCAGGGCTATCCTACACAACATGGCACCATGCTCAGCATACAAAGCTGGAGGAAGAAGGGGGCAACATTCAGTGACACATTTGTCCTCCTGAGTCACTGTTACATGTGAACCCAGCTTTCCTGGCAGGTAAATACCTGCCTACCCACAGGACATAGTAGATAAATTCCTTGATTTGTTTTGCTTTCTGTGCATGGCTTTTGCTTTTGTTCTTTGCTAAACAGTCTTCATCTCAGCTCACAACTTTTCACTTCTACCCTTCCAATTCTCTTCCCCACCCTACCAAGGAAGAGTGAGCAGGCAGCTCTCTGGGGCTGAGTTGCCAGCTGGGGTTAAACAAGTGTGTCAGGGAAGTTCCAGTTGGACACCAATGTTCTTTACACAGGTCAGTTCCCAGGGAAGTGGTCATGGCACCAAGCCTGTCAAGAGTTAAAGAGGGTCTGTATGACCTAGTCATATGGCTTAGTGTTACATAGTTCTGCAAGGAGTTACATTGGACTCAATTATACTGATGGGGGGTCCTTTCCAACTCAACTGTGTCTATGTATTAGACCATGTGAACTGAGCACATGCCTATATTCACCAGTCTTTCTTTCCAATCATACAGCACACAGACCACTTTGCTGCAGAAGTTATACAGGATTTCCCTCACCCTGCTGGGTGGGATGATACTTAGAATTTAACAGGTCAGCTTCCTCTCCAGCCTGTTGTGTCCTTTCAGCATTAAGATGCTGGAAATTGAAAAAGAGGTATCAAGCAGAAACAGGGCATGGGCAAGACTTTGAAACACAAAAAAGTCTGGGGGAGTACAGAACTAGTGAGTGGAACCAGGTCAGGAGGTCAGGAACTATCAACTGTATTCTGTATGTAATAAAGAAACAGCCCCAGAGAAGTTGTTCAGAACAGTTTTGGATGACCCATCCCTGGAAATGTTTAAGGCCAGGCTGAATGAGATGCCATGTTATTTCTGAAAACTCAGAATCCCAGAAGACAATAAAAGAATGCAAACTCAATCTTTATAAAGAAATGTATGTTTTGTTCACTTAAAATTGAAATTCAGACATGTTTGTCTCTACAATGTAAATTCAAATATTTACAATATTCGGTTGATATTGTATGAAGTTTCATTCCTTGTAACATCTACGCAGATCCTTCAGTTCTGAATAGCTTTTTTTGCTTTTTCCTCTGAATCTTGCGTAGCTTCTTCTTATCTTTGACAATTGGCTTTGACTCTGGTTTCACAAGCTGTATTTCCACTGGCTTATCTTCAGCTGGAGTTTCAAAGACTACTTCAGTAGGATCTTCTTCAACAAGGACCTTAGTCCCTTTTTTCTTTATCTTTTGCACTTCTTTCACTTGCTGCTTCTCTCTAAACTTAGCTGCCACTGACAATCTTATCAGCCGGCGATGCTATAAAAATAAGAATTTAAATTTCATCATGTTTCAAATAAGCACGATGGAAGAAATCTGGTATTAAAGAAATTAATTTCTTTAATGCTAATTTCTCTGCTTAATGGCAGAGACCCTCAGTGTAACGTCATCTTTTCAGTGGCATGACTTCTGCACTCACTTCATCATTACAAAACTACTCTGCTCTCAAACTGTCACCAGTTCAGGGCACTACAAAGGGTCATGGGGAAAGGCATACTTGATGCTCCCACACAGAATGACTGCAAGGCTGGTTTTCAAATTAGTTGCTAAATTAAAGAGAACACAAGGACACAGCTGCTTACCATATTTGGGGACTGGTAATGAGGATTTTCATAGAGAGTTGGTCCTCCAAAGCTACCTTGGAAGATTTTTATGAGGTTCAGGACAAAACGAGGCCCAATTTCTACTAGAGATGCATCTTCTTCTATTATCTGCAATAAAAAGAAAATTTTCTCAATTTCTTACAGATTCAATCAAAGCATATGACCTTGCAGGGACCTTGTGTACATATGGTAATACACAAGTGAATTTAAATTCAAGATAAGGTACTTGATTAGGTAGATTTGTATAAAACCAGTTATGTACATTAAGCAGTTCTTTGAAATTCAAGCAAGCTTTTGGAGTACTCTGTATTTGTCAATTCCTTCTACAGAAACTTAAACTCTAGATGACTTTGGGTCAAAGCAGCAATTTAGGTTAAGGCACAGTTTAGGCCTTGGGTAGTATGTCCTGCTACCAAGACAGAATCACAACAGAATGCAAGTTCAGTGAACCACATCTCACCAGAGATATGGGAAAAGGTTCTCATTTCAGGACACTGAATCTGCAAGCACTAGGGGCTGGCATGTCCTGATAACAATAATAATGATTCTTATTTTATTTAATGGATTTGATATCAAGTTACTCCACTGACCTCCTCTTGAAGAGCTAGAGAGACCACTCACCTGGTAATTGCGAAACCAGATCCTTTCATCAGTGACGGTGAAGGTGAAAACATGATCAACAAAAGGCTGGCTTTTGGGGTGGTACTGTGGTGTACCAAATATCTGTAATAAAAGGGCAGTGTTTCTGAACATCTGCAGTTTACGAGGTCAAACAAAAATGGCTCATTTTAAACTCCTTTTAATTTACTAAGTTCCCAAACCGAGATTACATTTCATAACCCAAAACTTAAGAAATGTGTCTGAGTTGTGCTAAGAATATGATCCTAATCCTTTGTGATATTTTCAAAGTTCAGAAGTGTAAAACTGCTACTTGAAAAAAAACCACTTGAGATTATTAAGTATGTTGCCAAAACACATCTCCAGTGAAGAAACACTAGAACTATAGACTGACCTGAATAAACAATTCTTTTAGCAGGGCATAGTGTGGCTCCCGGTCAAATATCTACAAAAAATAAAAATGTTATTTTACATACAAGGCTAAATGCAATAGTCATGCAAAAACAATAAGAACAGACCCAAATGAAATAAAACCTATACTTACTGGATCAAAAGACAAAAGGGGTCTTGAGCCCCTTAGGCAATTTCCTGTCATCTTCAATTCAGCCAGTGTGTGAACTACAGTGATTTTAAGAAAAGTTATTACTTACAGAAAAAGTTTTGGACAGAACAGCAATAATACAAACACAATAATGTCCACCAGCTTACCATTCTGCACCAAGAATTTAGCAGATGGTCCCTGTGGTGTGTTTGAAAGCCTTCAGAGGGCAAGTGGTGGGGAAGAGAGAAAGAAAAATGTTAACAGCAGCCAGAATACATGCTGGATTTCCACACTACACCCCAACCAGTTATTCCTGCATTGAAGTAATTTCTGTCACTTTTACAGCTGTACTGACTTCCTTTAACGTAAACATAGCTTCTTTATGCTCATAAACACTTGTTTTCTAAATAATTTTGTAAAATCCTTCTGGGAAGAGTCTCCAAAAGCTGTTCATGCATTGTAAATTTGCACTATCCACAGAAGTGCAATATTAGAAGAAATTTAACTAAGCAGAAGTATTTCATGCATCTTCACTATTACAGTAGGAAGCTTCAGCTAGAACTGAAGCATTTGCAGCTATAAACAGCAATATAACAAAACATAACATTTCCTTACCACACGTAGAGATCCTGTTTCTTTTTGGCTTCAAAAAAGATGCACTTATTGCAGTTTTTCATTTCACACACCTACACAAGACACATCAAATTAGCTGCTTACAAACATCCTGAAGACATTTTGATAACTTTCCACATTCATCTCTCCCCTCTCCAAAATGCATGTTCAAAAGCAAAGATCTTGTCTTATTAAATGACATCTACTGATACCCAAATTTTGGTCTGGCTTATTTTTTAAATTTCACATACTCACTACAAGGAGTAATAACCTCATTAAAGCTACAAACAACATGATAAGCTGTCCAGGATACAAACACAAGAGCAGGAGCTGAGACATTAGGTTCTAGATTCAGAAATATCAAATGTCCTACTACATTTGGGCTGGCTGCATATTTGTGTCCTGCACTGTTCAAGCATAAGCTGTACTACACTTCTTACCTACACAGAAAAGCACATTATGCTGTATTCCCTCATAATGAAAATCTGTATTTAATTAAAACTTTCATTCTGGTTTTATTAATCAAAAGTCAACTTTTGGCTTTTTGGGTATCAATATTTTGGTATAATTTTCACCTATGAAGTAACATTTTGAACTTGGCTGCCCTTTTCCTTGCATACTGATTTTCCATAGAAAATAAAATAAAATAAAGAAACACAAAGATAAATCCTGAATTACCTCATTGATTACAAATAACTGGTCTTTACGGTCCATTTTAGTATCTGGAAGACAAAAACAACATTTACAAGGCTGGAAAACCAATTTAATACAAGAGATTATTTTAACAGTCAGGTTTTTTACAAAAACTTTACGAGTTTATAAATTAAAAGGTAATTATCAAATTGTTTCTGTCATGTTATGGCATATGTAAACATAGCAACAAAAGTAACTGTGCAGGTTCAGGACTGATGGCATAGGATTCACTTCCCAGAAAATAATATGATACAAAAATTGCTGTACTTCTTGGCTCAAAAGGTATTTGTTTAAGATACAAATTTCATCAAAACTCTTCTGTACCACATTTTAAAAAAATAAAAGAACAGGGCTTTTGGCTTAAAAGTATTCTCAAAATATAAGTTAGGAATGATGTTCAACCCCCACCTGCTTTAGAGTGAGGCATCAATGTCCTTAAGTCCTGCATTAGGTGTCTGGTTCTGAAATTAATTCCACGAGAGGAGAATATCAGCACTCGCTCCTTGTTTTTCCATTTGCCCTAGGAAAAAAGACACAGCAGTCACGTGGGAAGCTTTTAGCCTTAATACTGTTATAACGCAGCAAAAATAAAAAGTTTCCACAGTGAATACAAAAAGACACAGCAAGAACCTTCATTTTTACCTGCCCAAGCAGGCAGAGCCACGCTCTCAGCAGGAGTGGAGACTTCCCTAGAGAGCAGGGGGGCACAGCTTTTACAGCAGGAACCGTGTCATCCTGATCCACAGCGTGCTCCCAGGCACAGACAGCCCTGCACTCCCACACAACTACTAAAACGCCACGTCCATCGCTTATTTTCCTGCAAAATGGGCTCAGGGACCGCCCCAGAGCACAGCCCAGCCTCTCCTGTCGACAAGCGTATTGCGAAATCTTTGTGTTTACACGCAGTGCTTTGCCTTTTTCCTACCAGCAAGCAATTACCGAAACCTTCTCCGCATGATTCCTAAATGGAACAGTTTCCACACAGCTTCTCTACATAACAGAATTGCCCAACTCTTTCAATTACTTCTGAGACTGAGGTAACACATCTTACCGACATCGACCAGGGCAGCGCTTTTCGCGTATTCTCACGAAAAAAACCGCACCGCCACGTTCCCTTTTACTTGTACCTTGTATCACAAAAGACTACGAATAAATGCCTCTGTCCCGGCTGGGCCGTGACCCCTCAGACAACGCGAGCCGCGGGCCGAGCGGCGGTACCTGGGACACGGGCGGCGGGATGCTGTATTCCTGCGGCGGCCTGCTGCTCTCCCTGGGGCTGCTCTCCCTGGGGCCGCCCTCGGGCGCCGCCTCGCCCGCGCTCGGGGCGCTCCTGGCGCGCTTGGCCTTCCCCGCGGCCAGCGCCGCACGCTTCCTCTTGGCCGCCATCCGCCCGCACGCCATGCCGCGCTCGCCGCCCGCCCGCTCCGCCTCCCCGGTCACGTTTCCTGCGCTCGCATTTCCTGTGCTGGCGACGCTGTGATCTCACTTCCTGCGCTCCCGTTCGCAGTGCCCGCTCCCGCTTCCCGCGCTCCCGTTCGCAGTGCCCGCTCCCGCTTCCCGCGCTCCCGTTCGCAGTGCCCGCTCCCGCTTCCCGCGCTCCCGCCGCCCGGCCATGCCGTTCTCGGCGCAGCCGCCCGCCAGCGGCGAGCGCTACGCGCTGTCCGCCAGCCTGGACAATGCCCGGCACCTGTCCAGCCTCCTGCGGGCCGTGCACTTCCAGGACCACGCCACCTGCCTCGCCACGGCCAGCGGGCTGCGCGTCACCGTGGAGGATGCCAAGTGTATCCAGGCCAACGCCTTCATCCAGGTACGGGGAGGGCAGGGCAGCTGCAGACCTTGCACGGGCCCCGGTTACCGCCGCTGTCGCAGCACCGGGAGGACAAGGAGTGACAGGACAGGGTCCAGCGGAGGCCACAAAGATGATTAAAGAGCATCTCTTGTGAGGAGAGCACGCAGGAGCTGGGTCTGTTTAGTCTGGAGAAGAGCAAACTGAGAGTCTCATTAATGCACATAAATATCTCAAACATGGGTGCCAGGAAGATGGTGCCAGACTCCTTTCTGTGGTGACCGGTGACAGAAAAGAGAGCAATGAGCGTAAAATAAACCACCAAAGTTTCACCTCAACGCGAGGAAGCACTTCTTTACACTTAGGGTGCTAGAGCACTGGAACAGAATGCCAGGGAGGTTTTGGAGTTTCCCTCACTGCAGACATTCAAACCCCGCCTGGATGTGTTCCTGTGTCACCTGCTCCAGGTGACCCTGCCTTGGCAGAGGGGTTGGAGTGGATAATCTCCAGAGGTCCCTTTCAACCCCACCAATTCCATGTGCTCACCTGCAGAGAGGGGGAGACTTTGCTGGAAGCAAGGCCTGAGCTGGCATGTAGGAAGGGCCATGGTGAGGCTGCCCTTGTTTATGAGTGTCCATGCTTCTGGAATTCCGAATCCTGCACCAGTACATCCATGAACACCTGACATTGTAGCGGGTTTGCACCCTCGTGTAATGTACTGGTGCCTGCCAAACTCATGGCTCCTTCTGGCCATGCTGTGCTTAGGTGCACAAGCAAGGGCTTGCAGTATCCCTCTTTAAGTGTTTTTATAGCTCATCCCAAAGCTAATAGGTTGGATTTTTGTGAGCTGTGAAAGAGTACAGATTCACAGACACTTGATTATGCAGAGCACCCCAGGATGAGGTTTTCCCTCTGGGCTGCCAAGAAAATATGACATTACTTGTCCAAAAGCAGTTCGTGCCACCCTGCTTTATTTCTGAGACAGTGTTCTCGTGGGCGCCACAAAGCAGTGAGTGTCAGTGACAGACAGGATAGCATGGAGCTATCCCCATCAGGCTAGTCAAAGGTAGGATTCAGCACATATTTCAGAGTGGTGAAGTCACTGTTCTGTTCTGTTCTTAAGTACTAGTATTGGGAATGTTTATTCATGCTCTGAGCGAGCATAAAAAAGTATTGTTACTGGAGAAGGGTGACACATTGTACAGTTCCATGAATGTTTCTAGCTCCAGAAGTAAGCAGCTCCAGTTTTGCTGTTTGTGGGTTGTACTGAAACCATAATAGATAATTTAGGGTTTCATGTTTGTGTCATCTTACCTTGTTTTAAGTGTGGTTTGCTTGTGTTTTCCTAGTTTGAGGATGAAGACCCATTTTTCTATAATCAATGCTGTGTTGCATGTAGAAATCTCTTTGTGTTGCACTGATTTCTGGATGGGAAACCCTGAAGTTTAAACTGTAAGATAATTGCAGAAACTCCCAACTTTTCATCTCTTTGCTTTAACTTACAGGCAGAAATTTTTCAGGAGTTTTCCGTTCAGGAGGAGTCTGTGATGTTCCGGATCAGTTTGTCTGTTCTTCTGGACTGCCTCACCATTTTTGGAAGCAGCTCCTTGCCAGGTGTGGTGTGGTTCCATGAATCCACAGAAGGCTGTGTGGGTGCTGCAGGACGTGTACTCACGTGGCATCCTTCTGGGCAGTTCTTCCTTGCAGCTCTGTGTTGAACTCCTCATTCCTCTACGGTTTTGGTTGTGGCTGACCTAAAGATCCAAATCAAGTGTACGAAAGAGCAAAATCACAGGATTTTGGGAAACCGGCGGTTCAGGTGGTGATAACCTGCAACAGGAGGTGTGACCACAGCATGAGCTCAGCTGCATTAACTTCAGTTTGGGTTGCACAAGTAACAGGAGTAGTAAGGAAAGATGGTGTGAGCCAGAGAGAACCACAGGACCATGAGGATTTTCCAATTCCTCTAAACTGTAGCGTGTCTTAATTGTCGCAGCTGGTGTGTGAAATTATTTGGATTTGAGTTGTCTACACACAACTAATTTAATTTTACCTGCATAACCGTTAGCATTTCAGAGGGTATCTAGGAGGCAGCGCTAAAATTGATCTGTGGCCCGTGTGCCAGAAAAATGTGAGTTTTTTAATGTGATCAAATGACCTAGCTATGGTCTCTACAGAATATATTTCATTCTCTTTTTCAGGAACATCGACGGCCCTTAGATTGTGTTACCGTGGCTATGGGGATCCCCTGATGCTGTTCTTGGAAGAAGGAGGAGTAGTAACAGTATGCAAAATCAACACTCAAGAACCTGAGGAGTTGTTAGATTTTGATTTCTGCAGTACAAATGTTGTTAATAAAATTATCCTGCAGTCGGAGGGACTGCGAGAAGCATTTGCTGAACTGGATATGACCAGTGAAGTTCTGCAGATTACCATGTCTCCTGATAAACCCTACTTCAGGTACTAGAAATGGCTTTTAACTCAATTGTTTGTGCTTGGCTGCCTTGGTAAGGAGTGGAAGAGAGGGTGGAGAGAGGGGAACTATTTTAGAATACTGGTTCATTTCAGGAAGAATTGCAATAATATGGCAAAGGACAGTATGTTCTCTAACATAGTAATGAGTATTTTGACAACTTCATAAATGTGACACTGGTGTAGACAGTTTAGCATTTTTAATTAAATAAGTGAAACAAACAGCAGTGTTTTGTGAAACAGTCATGAGATATGTACAATGACTCATTTTGATGAGTTTTTACGGACCTCTCATCAGGTATTTTGAGATGGTGCTTTTTGTCTTCCAGGTTATCCACTTTTGGAAATGCTGGAAGTGCACATCTAGACTACCCTAGGGACTCTGATTTGATGGAAGCATTCCACTGTAACCAGACCCAGACAAACAGGTTAGAAAGTGACTGATGCCCTGTGCCAGGTCATGCATTCTTGATGGGAAGTTTAAAAACTGCTTTTGCATTTCTGTAACATTTATTTTATTAGTATGGGGGGCAAAAATATTCCCATCTGATAAAAGGCTGTGTCTGTAATCAAAAGCTAAGTGCTGACAATGACAGTTTAATGTTGTTACCAGGGAAACACCAAATAAGCATGTTCCTTATTGTTTTTTTGTTTAGTCTGGGTCTTTATTCATGACTAATGTTTCAGCTCCTCTTTGCACAATGTATTGTTTTCATGTTACTGAAATAATATATAATAATAATATTTTCTCCTGCAGATACAAGATTTCTTTGCTTAAACCATCCACAAAGGCACTGGCTTTGTCTTGTAAAGTGTCCATTCGAACAGATGCTCAAGGATTTCTTTCACTGCAGTATATGATTAGGAATGAAGATGGACAGATCTGTTTTGTGGAGTACTATTGTTGTCCTGATGAGAACATCACTGAAGCAGAACTGTAGGTGTGTAGGTGTGCTGGCATCTGTAATATATTTTTGGTTATATAAAATATTATATTTTTTTACAAAACTAAATGAAAGCTGTAAAGTTTGATGGAGTTAATATTGTCTTTATTTTTTAACTCTGGACTAAGAAGGGTGAAGATTTTAATTTTCTTCTACTGCAAACATTTCTTAACCTTGATTCAAACTGAAACTGAAAAAGCAGAAAGGGGAGTTGATGTCCTATAGACCCTGCTTCCAACACAGATTTTAAAGTACTGTTTGTGTAATACATTGATACTTTTTGCAGTGTTCTCCAAGAATTTTTGTTTGTGTTATGTTTTTTTGTCTTTGGCTTCTAGTAAGCAATTACACAGGGGAAAATCTGAATACTAGTTGTATATTAGCCAGATGACTTTCAGTGACTTAAAACCACATTTGTCTTGAAAGAGAACAACATTTTCAAACTCTTAATAGTAGCAGGTGGTTTCTTGCTGGCAAATGCTGCTATGTTTTGTCAGTGAAGGCACTAGGCTTCTCCTCATCTTGATTAATTCTTAATATAACTCAATTCCTTGGAATTTCATCTGACAGCAATTTACCATTTTGTCTGCAAACTGATGTTGAATTGGTAAATTGATGTAGAAGCCAGGATTTACTTACTCATTACTCTTAACTGTTCTGGCAACATCATTGCTTTGGGTCAGGAGTTTGTTACACATCTGCAAGAATGCTGCAGCTGATCTGTTTCTGTGTATTCACGTCCCTGTTCCTACTCAGTTGCTCTCTGCTAGTGGTGTTAAGAATCCTAAGAGAGAAAAGTTCCCTATTGAAAATTTTTTATGAAATTGGTTTGCCTTCTCAGTGGCGTTTTTCAGCAACGGGAATCGCTGCTAAACTGCAGCAGGGGAATATCTGCCTGTGTCCATGGAGTGGTATTCAAATCACTGCTAAAAAGGGGCTGATCTCATGCTCACTGAAAAGAGAGTGTGGTTCCTGGGCAGTTTTCTGCAGTGTCCCACCTCCAGAGCAGCAGATGGGTTTTTTTAGGTCAAAAGTCCACTTGTCCTTGCACACCAACCAACCTGCTCAGAATGGGAAGTACCTGGGAGCAGCCAGGCACTGGACTGGATGCAGAGACTGAGCCCTGCCTGCCTCTCTGCTGTGGGATGTGACCAAAAAGTCAGCATCTGCAGGTGGTTTCTGCAGCTTTAGACTCTGGTCAAGTTTTGTTGTCTGTCAGATGAGGTCTTGCTTTGTTTTCTATGGAAAACAGTGTGTTCATATGTTACCAAATTGATTGCTCCACAGTTCAACAGAATCCTTTGGGTTCAAGTTTAAAATGTTTTTGTGAATGATTTTTCACCTCTTGCTTATGCCAGAAAGAGTATACTTTTGGAGTACACAGTGTTATCTGTTCATTTTGGTTGTTTTTTGTGCAAATCATCCATTTATTGCAATAAAGTTTACAATAAAGTTGTTTGAAATTTATAAACAATTACAAATTTTTGAACTACAAGGCTGACATAGATACCTAATATTCTACATTACTCTTATTCACTGGGGTTTTTTTCCAAACTGAAGTATACCCAAGACAAGTATAAATGAACTTCCTTCTGGCTTACTGTGTCAATTTCTTCAATGAAAAAAAGGGTTATGGTCTCATTGGGAATTAGTAATATTATCCCTGACTACTGAGTATCAAGGATGATTTACCTAATCCCTGGGTGACAGGATAAAAATGAAGTAGAACACACCACTTTCTTGGTGTGATTTATTTTAGAATATCCAGGTTTCTTGTATTGTGTTCAGGAATTGTGGCTTAACATTTGAATATTTATATAATTGCCTACAGATGTATTGTGTTCTTGAAATAGTACTTTTAATGATTTCTTCTATGGCCTACCAACAGTAATTATGGAAGTAATACCCACAGAAGTTAGAACACCACAAAATACCAGAAAATAACTTGCATTTAATAAATATTAGGTGTTAAAGACACATTTGGTTTGTGCAGGAGTTAATGTCTGTACTCCAAATGGGCTGAGTCTGGGCTCCCAGAGGTAGGGAGGTGCTTGTGCACTTTTGACTTCATGGATATGGGTTTAGGGAGACAAGAACATGGGAAAGCTGGGCTACAGACTTGGTGCTGAACGGCAGTGAATTAATTTAGGATCCATCTGTGAAGTATTCAATTACATTTCTGCATTCAAGCACAGTAAAATAAAAAGGGTGAAGATGAAGATGATGACTGGGAGGGCACTGTATATTTTTGACCTAGTAAGTTACTTAAATTCTGCAGATATCCACTGCTGCATTTCCACTGTAGCATTCCTGCTACACTTCGCATGGATCCAGAACTCAGGTTACCTTTGGTGCATTTTATCTCTGCTATTTAACAAGACCTTTCCCCTTGCAGACTACAGGAAACCTGCAGCAGAAGAAATGTTCAGCTCATGTTTTTTTCTTTTAGTACTGTCACAGGAGAGGCTTGTCATAACTCAGATTTTGCCCATCTGCTTTCTTAAAATGGTGCATGCAAGTACTCAGAATTACTTATCTTGTAAAGTAAATCAGTTCCTGGGGTGGGAGCTGTCACCAGTGCCTTGCCCCTGGGTTCAGCTGTGGTAGGTGATGCCTGGCAGCTCTGATGGGCAGCACTGGGGGCTGTGGGCATCCCACATCCAGAGGCCACAAAACCGGCAAGTGATTTTCCCTCCAATTATTTTGATTTGTTATTTTCAGAGTAGGAACTGACCTCAGGTTTTCAAGAAGGCACTTTGATTCTACCAGAAAACTACTGCAAATAGGCTTTGGGTCCCCACCAGACTCTGAAGATTCTAGAAGTCAAAATAATGCCTTTGACTCCTGACAGTCTTTATGCAACAAAACACCAACAGTGCTGGTGCTAGTGTTATAACCTGCCTTCCAACATGTTGAATTTTTGTGTCTCTTTGGCTTTCTACAATGATTGGGATCTGTAAAGCACAAAATTCTCCAGGGGGAATTCAGTTCTATACCTCTGTTTCAAAGTTAGTGTTGGGAAAGAATCAGTGGTTTAGTTTTTATTTAGTTTAGTTGTTTAATATTTATTTACACATGGATTTACAAGGAAATAGTACTCTCGTGTACTTGACTACATGAGTCTTCAGTGAGGTTAGTGGAGCAGCTGGAAAAGCTGAGGTAAGCCATATGCTGTTTCCTGTAGGTGTCTGTTTTTAACCTCATTTTATAGCAGCTTGAAGAATCCAGCAGGTGGGTCTTACCAAAATAAATACTTAGAAACTGTGTGTAGTAGCACTAAGCAGTGCTTTTGCTGAACAGTAACATTAAAGAATACTGACATTAAACTGAACAAATAACAGAATTATTTTTAAAATGCTGCTATTACTGAATAGTTGCTTGATGACTTCTTGTTGAGAGAAAAACTTATTTTTATGTGAATCTCTGTTTGAGGGTGCCAGGACTGCTTAGGTATAAATGGAAGAGGTAACAGGTGGGTTGAGCCTCTTTCTACCCTGCTTCTGCCCTTAGCTGGGTCTAAGGGTAACAGGGCAGTGCATTTTTTATAGCATTGCTATAGCTAATTGCAAGGGCTCTTCCAGGCAGAGAGCGTGCGAGGAAGATGCAGTCAGGTGCCCCACACACAGCTCTGGTTTCTGTGGAGTAATAGACTCTCACAGAAGTGAGAACTGGGCTTGAATGTCCACCACAACTGTGAACACGTCAGTCTGTGTAAGTATTCTGAGGAATGCATCCAAGGGAGTCTAGAAAGAGCTGCATTGCCCAGGAAAAGCTTCTGTTTTGTAATACCATTGAAAATCTGAGCAGAGAGACAATGGGAATTTCACTCCCACTTTCACCCCCACTGCATCAGTGTTTAAGGTGGGGTAGTGGGTGGAGGGCTGTGTCTGTGTGTGGATTAAAACTCTCAGTGGAAAACTGAACAGCCTCCTGCCCCTTCTGGTTCAGATGGGACCATGGAGTTGACCAAAAAGGAGCAAGTGAGCAGAAAGCTGGAGGTCTGAGATAAGAAATCTGCCTGAACATATGTTTGCATTTTACCCCATAAATGCCAGTGGAGTGCAGTAATGGGTTTGTCACATAAGGGATGCATGGAACGACTCCACCTAATTAGGCACTTGCACCCCTTATCAAACAGAAGGAGACTTAATCCATGGAACAGAAAGCATCAAACAAGCCCTAAGTTATGTCCAGATGTTGGAAAGATAAATTACTTGTTGGCAAAATTGCCTTGTTAAGCTTCAGTGATCTCATACCTAGGGGGAGGTTAACAAAGTTTGGGAAGAAGGATAGTAGGTAGACACAAAGAATGCAGAGCTTTAAAGCCAAAAGGACCTACAGCAGAACTCCCAAGATAAGGAAGAAACGAATAAGGCCAACTCAGCAACTGTGCTGAAACTGACTGCTTAGTGGGTAAAAAGAACTTCAGCAGGGAGAAATCATGACAGAGTGACTCATGGCCCACCATGTCAAAAGAGGATGAAGACTGAGGGTTGCAGACTAATTAGCATAAGAACTGACAGAATCATTAACTGACAGAAGCCAGAACATTAATTAGTAAGAGAACAGTCTCCTGTCGCCTTGAACGTCAATGCCTATGTTTGCTAATGTTGAGGGATGCATCTGGTGCAGGCAGCTGTGTTTGCAAGCTGAATTCGAGGTTCAGGTTGAGCTCTGGGTGAGAGCCAAGAGAAAGACAAGGGGCTGCCTTTGATTGTTAACAAAGGGCACAAAGCCCGGTGAGACCAGCCAGGGTGAGTGGACACTGGGAGACACAGCAGTTGCAGGCATTTGGATAACAAGAGAGATGAGATGGGTGCTGCCAGCTAGGTGAATTGACACGGAGAGAGTGGCATGTGCCGACTGGAGAGGAAGAGCTACACTTGCACCTGGGTAGAGAGAGTGGAAAATTCCCTGGGGCTCCTTTTTGGGGGTCCCTCCTCGGAGGCATCAGCACGAGCTGTTTCTGTGTAAGTGCACTGTGAATAAATGGCTTTGTGGAACAAGACCTCTGAGACTCCATGGGGAGCCTGGGGTGGAGCCAGCAAGGTAACCTGCTCTGGAGTGTTTGGGGCTGTCCCAGGTGTGAAAGTCTGGCACTGGGAGTGTGACTGCCAGAGAGGCTCAACAATGGTCAGACTGGGGAGTTTCCTTAACACAACAGTGTATAAATAGTAAAAAGTTTTGAGAGTTAGTGTGCTTGATTTGTGGAACACCACTGAGCACCCAGGCTTGTGCCACTGGAATAAATAATCAGTGTTTCTCTTGAGTGTGTAATTAGTTGCTTGTTGCACACTGGAAAATGAATCTGATTTTTTCTGGACAACAAGCTGGCCAAACACTTTTGCTCTCATAATAAACTAACCACTGGCATGAGACAAGTTCTGGAGGAGCTGGGGTATATCCAGGCTGCAGCTGTGAGCAGTCACTCTCCAGAGCTGACCAAAGCTCCCAGAAGAGTTGTCAGAGAGTCATGGGCTACGCAGAGCTGCACGCCCTCCTCTTCCTCCATGCTGCAACCCAGCCTGGGTGATCCCAGACTTTAATTAAGCAGATATTCGCAAGGGAACACGGTGCCAGACACTCACCAGCCAAAGCATCTGAGGACAAAAGCATCTGCCAGCCTGTTCCTCGCCAGTTGTAGGGTGAGGAATTCTTCATGTGGCAGCAAGGGCAGGAATTTTAGAGACACTGAAAACCACACAGCCACCCTGAGGCAGCGCAGGGCTCCGCACAGTGTAGGGGACAATGCAGAAGCAGCACAACCAGGGGAGCACCTGCCCTCCCCACTGAGTCCTTCCTGCAGGCGCCTGGCTCTGAAACACTTCACATGTGTGCTGCCTCTGCAACATCTGTCCAGCTGTGCTCACACCCAGCTGCGGCCCCACCAACTGCCGAACGCAGCTTTTTTTGGGAGCTGCACTTTGAACAGACAATCTCTTTCCAGGAATGGGGCAGTGCAGACCTTTGTGCTTTGAGTTGTCACTCCCCACTGTTCCAGCTGTGAGGGAGGCTCTGAGGGGAAGGAATGCCAGGTTGCTTTCTCAGGAATGTTTTGAGTTTTTTCTTTTTGTCTGGAAAATGCAGTTTAATCCAGCACCCCCTTACTTCCCAGACTCTTTGGGGGATGACTCCTGGTGAGCAGTAGAGTGTTGACAGAGAAGCCCGGGCCCAGCCACCACTGAGGAGCATTTTGGCTAATCCCAAAGGAAAGGTGACTGTAGCGGAGCAACAGCTTCCCATACAGGCACAGTGGTGTTTTGATGCAGGCCATGTCAGTCTCCTGAGGGTCACAGGGTGCAGGGTACCAGCTGCAGCATCCTCCCCGGGCAGGGTTAACACCAGTGCACTGTGAGTGTGCAGGGCCAGCCAGGCAGGCAGGAGCAGACAGACAGACACCCCTGGGCTCCAGCCCTGAGCTCCTTGCAGGAGATGATGTCACTGAGATGTGCCTGTTTCCAATCTCCAGCTGCTGGTAGGAGGTCCCATTACCAACTGTCTGAGCATTTCAGGCTGTTGGAAAATGTACAAAGAGGGCCAACACTGTGAATCTGGAGAGATCAGCATGAGAGCAGGCTTTTAAAATAATACTGAAAGCCCGGTGATTGCATTAACCTGTGTTAAACTCATCAATTAAGAGTCTGCCAGGGCAGCCAAAGGTTTGGAAATACCTACAAATCCATTGCCATAAAATGCCCCAGGAGCTACGGGTGGTACAACAAAACAGACCCTCCCAAAGCCACCTGTAGGAGCGGGGACTGGCATCAGCAGGGCTAAAAGCAAGCTGATTTTTGCTGCTTCTGTAAAGGCAAAAAATGGTCATCACAGGAGTCATATGTTAGTGACAGTCCATGCTGCCTGCCACCATTGTGTCTGATGTGACAGAGCCTGTCATTTCTCCAAG